TTAGAGATTAACTGCAAGGGGAAAAGAAAGGTAGGATAGGCAAACAAAGGAATAAATGGGAAAACATATAATAGGCTGAAAAATTTTATATTTAAATTATAAGAAAGAAAAAAAAAAGTGGAAGAAGATGAAAACAAACCAAAGACCCAACAAAGAAACAAATGAACAACAACAAAAATACTCAGCCAAACTGCACAGTGTAGAGCCAGAGGTTTATAGCCACAATAAAATGTGTGACTGAAATTACACATATACATATACAGCCATAAGGAAAATCAAGAGTCCCACAGAATAGGGTAAGCTAGTTTGACCTGTCACACATAGAAAGTCAAAAATTACATCTACTGGAAGAATAATAATTAAGGACAAACAGGAAAACAAAACTAGAGAATAAGGTCAACTGAGGAGTAAAGCAAAGAAAATAAACCTAACAATATGTTGATAGGAAAGGAAATAAAAAAGAGAAAGAATAGATATGCAAAGGTAAAAGAGGTAGAGGAATGAGATTTATATATATTACAGATTAACCAAAAGGGGGAAAAGAAGAGGAGGATTGACAAAGAAAGGAATAAATGTAGCAAACAATATAAAAGCTTAAAAATATTAAAGAAATTTAAGGTTCAAAGGGGGGAACAAATGGACGAAGATAATAAAAAGGAGAAAAGAAAACAAAATTCCAGAGAGCAGCAAAAGACCAACATAGAGGCAGAGGTGTATAGCAAAAATAAAAAGTGTGACCAAATATACACATATACATATACACTGGTAAGGAACATCAAAATACTCCAAGAAAAATAAAGTGTATTAAACTGATCCAGTGAATAAAGGAAACCAAAAGTTGATCTACAATAACAAAATTAACTAAAGAACAAGCTGGAAAACAAAACTGTAACAAGGTCGTAGTTGGGGAATAATGCAATTAAAATAAAAGTTACAAATATGTTGAGAGAAAGGAAAGAAAGATTGGATATGCAACCTTGAACAGAGGTAGATAAAGACAATTAATATACAAAAATATTAACGGCAAGGGGAAAGCAGATTAGGAAAAACAAACAAAATAATAAATGTAAAAAAAATTGAGGTTTAAAAAATTAAAATTCGAAGAAGACTGAAGAAACAATAAAATGAAAATTCTACAGAACTGCAACAGGCCAACATAGAAGCAGAGGTTTATAACAGGAATAAAAATGTGACAGAGGAAATTAAAAAAAAAATGCTTAAAAGTTTCATTTGATTTCATAGTGCCAATAAAATTGACAACTATAACATAGGGGGTGAGGGCGAGAAGAAAGAGAGAAAAAAATCCATGAGAATATACAGAGAAGTCAAAAGAGAAGAACAATACATGTTTATCTTTAGTCATTGCTACCAGAGTCCTTTCCCTCACTTGGATTCACAGTCCAACTCACCTCCCTAGGATACCCTTCATCATTGTGCTGATCTCTGGACCTACTGTGTGGGCAGCTCACAATCTAATCTGGTTCCACTCCTGTGTGTTCTTGCCTCCAATACCACAGGTATCAGAACTACTGCCTTTTCTTTTGTTGTTGTTGTTTGTTTGCTTGTAGGAGCTCTCAACGACCTTTTATACATTCCATAGACACAGTCTTCCTAGTTGATAGTGTGGATTTAACCTGCAGTTTGTACACCTGGTTGGAAGGTCCTGGGTTTTCTTCCTTAGCTACACTGCTGCTGGGTTTCAATTGTGGTTTTATTTCCATCTCTGCATGTGGTTTGTCCACTGGGATTTGCTCCTGAAGTGGCCCTGGAGGCCTTGGGTTTACCCCTATGAGGGTCAGGTGTGGAGGCAGTGTGTCTGCTTGGGTCACAGGGGTTCTAACTTCGCCAGCCATTCAGGGGTTTGGCAATTAGGACAATAGGTAATATAGTGCTCTAGAAGGGTATGGCGATCAGTATTGGCCAACACACTCCAGTATTCTTGCATGGATAACCCCCTGCCAGACAGAGAATCCTGCCACAGTCTACAGGGTAGAAAAGTGTCTGACACTACCAAAGAGACCCTGAGAGCAAAGATGCAAGAGTCTTTAGCTGTGGCAGCTTTGCCCGAGTGAGAGTTGAGCATGAAGGTGACACAGCTGCTTGGCTTGTGGGGACCCTGGCAGTGCCGAGTGTCCAGGGACTTGGACTGCCTCCACTGCAGGAATTATGGCCCTATCAGAATCTTTCTTTGAGCCTATCATAGCTGTCAATCAGAAGGCCTCTTTGGCTATCATTTCTTCATAGTTCCATGCATTCAGGCACTTCAAGAGCTCTCTTGTCTGGGGTCCTTCTCTGTTCAGAGTGCCAGGCACATATAGGGCAGCCCCCCAGGCTAGGGTCTTATTCTGTAGTTTGGAGCATCAGCCACTTAAAGGAGCACTCTGGGTGGAGTCTTACTCAGTAGTTTAAAGATTCAAATCCTTGATGAGCCAGCCTCTCTATTACTCAGTTGTGATAAAGGCATGAGGGGAGCGAGAGGATAGGGTGATGGCTCCATGCCCTATACATGACTCAGCGGTGTCACCTTCCTTCCATGGCTGCCCGGCTTACCTTCACAAGATTTGCCCACACAATCTCCTCATTTGAACACTCCATCAATTTGTCTCTAAACAGTAGACAGCAGAGCCCGGCCAGGGATTTCTCCACAATCTCTATGAACCATTTGTTACCTGCTACAGCATCTACAGGACTTGTGTCTCTCTCTGGGGTGTGAATGGCTGTGGAAAGGACTGTCTCATTCTCATCGTGTCTAGCCTGCCACAGATCAACTCTTTCTCTCTCAGCCTTAAATGTTTCTCCTCTGATCCAGACAGTTGCTCCCATGTTGAGATCAGACACTTACTTCAGGCCTCCCACCCACTGAAGGCAAGTCCAATCCTACTAACATGCATGTCTCCTGCCCCCACCCCCTATTTATTTCATCCTCCTGATTGTTTTTGGTTCCATCTATACTTTTCCTCTGTTCAGGTAGTCCTTTCTTCTCTCAGCTGAGGTTCTTTCAGCACTTGTGTCTGAAGGTGTATTCCTGGTGGACTCTTGAACAGAGATGTACTCCCTGTACCCCTCCACCTCCACCATCTCCGTTTCTCAACGGAGATGACAAATATAAATAAGACTGCTATAAACATTCATGTGTGTCCTAGGTGAGTAAGCAACCAGTGGACACCAGGAAGAGAGCATTTCATGGAAACCAACGGAAATCCCACAAAGTCAATAAAGACTCTCTCCCAGGGGGACATCTCAGGCTGGCTGAATCTGCTAGTCAATTAGCAACACAGGGACTGTGTTGTGTGAAGCAAACAACTCATCCCCCTATCTTCCAGAGCCAACAAACTCAAAGAAAGAACTTAGGAACTAGATGGGTAGGCATAATTACTGTGTTTCCTCCAAGAAGCTGGAAGCTTGTGGTAGCTATTCATGGAAATGAATTCCACCACGGTCTCAACTGTGAGGTAAAACACAAAAGGGGTTCTGGCAGGAAAACAGGATGAGAAATTTGTGAGGGTGCATGTTGAGAAGACTTTGCACACTAGGCTCACACACCATTGGGCAAGCTCCACCCCTTCCGTCCTGGGAATACTAATCAACCACAGGTGGTTATTTCCTTCTTGGGGTCATCCAGCACAACCCAAAGCATGCAATTATCTGCCTTATCCACATCACAATGTTAAAATGAAGCCTGGCAATTACACCTAGGGAGGTGACAATTAGTCCTCGAGCTGAAATAAGACAGTGCCAAGTGAAGCAAGAGCAAGTGGAGGTATTCAGTGCATTCTCACAGCTTGAGGACAGGGGTTTCAGACTGGAGACTAGAAAACTGAGGAGAGCTAGATGAAGACTGAGAAAAGGAGGTGGGATGGAAAAGGTTTCTCATAAGTGGCCCAGAATTGAATGGTCTTCAAGATGCATTAACACCAGTTGTAGGAGGAAAGTGAAATCATTCTCATTCCCACAGCCTAGTTATCATGGAGGGATTTGAGGCAAGATAACCAAAAGTAGATAATAATGTAACATGAGAGAGAATTGAATGAAAGGCTGAAAACTGGCTGTGAGGCTCAGTTTGGAGGAGACACACTCTCCCTGCCATGTGACCAGTCTGTGTTAACTTAGAGAGATGAGGATGGCAGGTGAGCTTGGTGGGCTCTTTAGGATCATAAAAAATGCCTCATTTCTGCCACCAAATAATCTGAGCTGCTCCCCATCCACCTTCAGAGTTTTTAGGATGAGGCTTTGTGATGCCAAGACTCCTGGAGGGCTGCCATTGGCTGGGGAAGTGACTTACATCATAATCATAAGGGTGTGGCCTCCTATGTATAGGTATGCTTAGTGGCTCTGGAGGAGACCACTGGAAGTCTTCAAAATGACCAAGGTGGCCTCAATGGCCCTGCCCTGTGGGGAGAGACATGGCCTCCGAGGAGCTGTATTAGGTAGAAAGGATTGTTGACAAGAGGCAAAACAAGAAAGGGAACACGGAGTATCTGGTTCTGTGGACAGGCTATGGCAGGGAGGATGCCACCTGGGAGCCACAGCAGCACCTGGTGAACTGCGAGGAGCGCATCCATGACTTCACCCGGCATTACACCAAGACGCAGTAGGAGGGCACCTTCACCAGAGCCAACCAGACCTCCCCAGAAAATGGCCAGAAGCAGATCTCCATATCCACCAACAGCACCTTCTCTAAGGCTGCCCCAAGGCCCTAGTGGTGGGCAAGGAGCAGGAGGCCAAGAGCAGCCTGCTGGTTACCGCCAGCCAGAAGTTCAGGAAGAGCCCCACACTGGGCCTGGCCACCCGCAAGAACACGGACCTGGTGCAGTCTGATATCAGGATCCTTGTGCCCAAGAGCCCCATCAAGGGCAGCACTGCGGTGCACGACTTTCAAGATGAGAGCCTCAAGAAGCTGGACTCCATGGAGCAGGGTCTGGAGGACACAGCGGCCACAGAGCCCATGGCCGAGAAGCCAGGTTGGGGCCCTTCTGGGCCCCGTGGTGGTGCAGGTGTGGATGGGGAATCAGACACAGATACACCCGCTGGTGCAGCAGGTGTTGGCTCCGTATCTGCAGCCACGAACATATGGCCTGACCATGAACGGGAAAGGCACCTCCCCAATCATGGACACCCTGATGGCCCATGGGATGACCTCCCTGCAGACATCCGTCATGGCCATTACAGCCGGGAAGAGGAAGTTCATCGAGGACAGGCGAGACCAGCCCTTTGGCAAGCTGCTGCACTTCCGTGTGCGGCAGATGGAGAGCGCCTCCAGGTACTGGGACATCACGGTCCGGAAGCAGGACGGCTTCACCCACATATTTCTGTCCACCAAGTCTTCCGAGAGCAACTCGCTGAACCTGGAGGTCATGAAGGAGCTGCAGAGCACGCTGAGCATGGCTGGGGCTGATGGAAGCAAGCTGGTGCTTCTCAGCGCCGTGGGCAGTGTCTTCTGCTGCAGTCTGGACTTCATCTATTTCATACAGTGCCTGACAGACAGCCACAAGAGGGAGAGTGCCAGGATGGCTGAGGCCATCAGAAGCTTCATGAATACCTTCATACAGTTCAGAAGCCTATTATCATAGACATGAATGGCGCGGCATTTGGGCTAGGAGCATCCATCTTGCCTCTTTGTTACCTGGTCTGGGCCAACAAAAAGGCATGGTTCCAGACACCCTATACCACCTTCGGACAGAGTCCAGACGGCTGATTCACGGTCATGTTCCCCAAGATTATGGGAGGAGCACCTGCCAATGAAATGCTGCTTTGCGGGCAGAAGCTAATGGCACAGGAGACGTGAGGCAAAGGGCTGGTCTCCCAGGTGTTCTGGCCTGTGACTTTCACCCAGGAACTCATGGTCTGCATCAAGGAGCTCATCTCTTGCAACCCCGATGTGTTAGAGGAATCCAAGTCCCTTGTGCACTGCAACATGAGGTTGGAGATGGAACAGGCCAACGAACGGGAGTGTGAGGTGCTGAAGAAGATCTGGGGTTCGGAGCAGGGCATGGATTCCATGCTCAAGTACCTGCAGAGGAAGATTGAGTTCTGATGGCCGGGTCGCCCGACCACACCGGGCTGCACTGCGCTGGACCTCTCAACCCGGGCCAGGCTCACCTGGACCTCCCACTGAAGCAGGACTTGAGACAGCCAAGCTATTTATTGCCAAGGAGTTTTTAAGTACTGTAACTTTAAATAACTGCAAAACTCCTTTGTCCAAATGTCATTATTGTATACTTAATACACACACAAGTGTAAAAGTACAATGCTGAGCTCTAGGCTGCTCTTTGAGGCTCTAATTTTTGTATCTTCAGCTAGTACTGTCTTAAAAAAAAAAAAAAAGTGTGTTTTCTTGGCTTGGGTGCCAGCAAAGTCTGAAAGAATGTTTGTTTTTCTTTGTTTTCTTTTTTCCTTCTGAAAGTAAAGAAAGAGGTGTTAGCCAGGCTCTACATCCCCGCCCCAAATCAAAATATGGAAAGACCTGAGACGTGCCCTTATCTCTAAGAGGTCCAAAGCCTCAGAGATCAAAAATTCTAAATCTAATGGAAGACTTATCTTTTTGGATGAGTACTTCTGGTTAAACACCCACTGATGGACATACCCCTGAAGTAAAATACACCTGGATCCATGCTGAGATATCAGTTGATTGTTCCCTCTTTTTAAATGTTTGATTCTTTTGCAGTTAACAGAAAGAAACCACTCTCTCTAGGGAAAGCTTGTTTTGCAGTATTAGTGAATCACTGATTCGTTTCAGTATGGTATCTTAAGTTATAAGTTAAACTTAGAAGGTTTATAATTAGTTTTTCTCACCCTTTTGAAAAACTACATGAGTGATTTTTGATGTTGGGTGAGAACTACTACTTTATATAGAGTTTTGGTTTTCTATTTGCAGATATGAATGATGTATTACACCAAAAATAAAAAAGTATTTTTATGTTTCTACAGTGGAATTTTTAGGTTCACTTAGAACATATTTAATTTAATAACTTAAAATTCTTTTGGCACACTATTAAATGCAGAAACTCCGTTTTAAGAAAACTTATTATATTGACATTTCATTTTCTTGGTCTCTGCTTTTGGTATATTGGTCTACACAATATACCAAGTACAGGATGCTGTCCAAGAGTGTCCTGTGTAGATAGGCGTCTGCATTCCGGCCAGGGGTGGGGGCGATTCCAGAAGCCTGTCCGCTGGTGGTCTTCTGAACTGGCAATCATATGGAATATATGGGGAGTGAAATAAAATCAAAGCCTTATTCTTGGACAGCTTTTAAGTTTCTAAGAACAGACCACATCTCAGCTTTGTGGAGAGCTTACAGAGTGTAAATCTGCCTTTTCTTGGATTGATTGGTGCAGTATTTTTCAATCTGTGGGATCTGCTTTTTTTTGTTTGTTTGTTTGTTTGATAGTTTGAACTATATATAAACTGTACAATCTGTAAATTTTTTATAGAATAAATATTCAGCTGTGAAAACTGGTTACATAAAACATATTTCTTAACACACACACAGAAACATACACACACAGAGACACACGCAGACACAGACACACAAGACTAAATGACTAAGGTGACTGGGAAGCCAAAAGGCTCTAGCACAATTAGGAAGCAGCTGTCTCCTTATCCATGAAAAAAAGATGAAGAATTCCTATCAACTGATGTCCAAAAGAAGTGTCAAGGTGAGTGAACCCACCCACACACAACTTGCCCATTGACACCACCCCATAGACACACTCCCCTTTCCTTGTCTTGCACATGCCCCCTCTTGGTCACATGCCCTCTGCTGAAGCCATCAGTTCCAACCATAACTACCCTCTTCCCCAAACTAATGTCATTCTTTGCTCCTTCTCTTGTTTTCTCCAGGTCACCAGGGTAAGTGTGAGGGTAAATAAGAACATTTGATCAAAAGCTGACCAAGAAAGCTTCTCAAAAAGCTCCCACCTCAGAGAATCTTAAAAACATCAGAGGCTCAAAGCTCTGTAACCAGCATTCCATGGTGAATGAAGAGCTGAATCAGAACAAACTGGAAGAGGTCCCAGAGATCATGGAGACCCCTGTCATTCCTGCTGGACAAATGCATAGCCAGTGACTTCAGAACATGGTTAGAGACTGCAGGATTCCTCAGGGATCTCACTGCTGAAAAGTGGCCAACAGGACAGACATTGGAACTTCTACCAACAGCATACATTAATAATGATATTTAAATAAAATCAACCTGATGTGAAATAATGTGTGTCTCTGAGCTTTCTGCTTTGGGCAGGAAGGGCAGAGAAAGGATAAGTCTGTGAAGAGAGAGGGAGATGGTTCCTGTGCAGTTGGAGAGGGGACTAGAAGGTCCAGTGAGCTAGAAAGTATGGGGCAGAACTGTGGCCAGACTGAGCCCCTAAGATACACTTCCCATGGCAGAAGAGGAAGAGGTTGTGGTGTTTCTGTATGTGAGTGCTGGGGTGGGAAGTTAGCTGGGGAGCTGTGTCATGGGGTGGGGACAACAATGTCATTTGCTAAAAAGCATCAAAGTGGTTGCCTCTAGGGCATCTACCTCATAGTAGTGTTTATTACACCTCAAGGTATGATGTCAGCAACTGACAGCATTAAAAACTCAAACTTGCTTACGGAAAGATTGTCCATAGTAATGAAACAGTGGTGATTTTTAGTATAGCAATTTCTCAAAAATCTAAGACAGAACAACATATGACCTAACATTTTCATTATATTTATGTATTTAATCAAAAAGGCACATGTGTCCCAAAATTCCCTGAAGCACACCATTCACTAACGTGGAATCCACCTAAATGTTCATTAGATGAGAGACAGATAAATGGATAAAGATGTGGTATATTTGTACAAAGGAACACTTGTTTTTGTTCAGTCACCAAGTCATTTCCCACTCTTGGGTACCTTATGGACACTACCCTCTCCAGACTCCTCTGTCCATGGAATTTTCCAGACAAGAACACATCAGTGGGTTGCCATTTCCTTTTCCAAGGGATCGTCTTTACCTAGGTTTTGAACCCACATCTCCTTCTTGACAGGCAGATTCTCTCCAATTGAATCACCAAGGAAGACCTATGGAATCTTACTCAGCCATACAAAGAATGAAATTAATACCATTTGCAGCAACATGAGAGGTATAATACTAAGTAAAATAAGAAAGACAAATATTGTATGGTATCACTTGCAGAATCTTAAAACCCCACAAAGTGGAGAATATAATGAAAACAGAGGCTCAAAGATATATAGAGCATCGACTATTTACCAGCGGATGGGGAGAGGGGAAGGGGAAATACAGAGGCAGTGGAGTGTAAGGCACAAATCTAGGTGTAAGCTGAGTTCAAGGATGTATTTTATAACATGGGGGATGTTGCCAGTATTTTGCAATAACTCTAATTGGAAAGCAAATTTTATCAACTTTATAATAAGAAAGAAAAGGAAAGAAAAGGGAAGAAAGGAAGGATAATAATGGTGGCTTTTGGAAGTCACAAATGCATTATTGCTTAGGCCCTTTTAAGCTAAGGACTTTAGAATGGAGCAGTGGCCGTCCACAGATGGATCAGGGAGAGCAGCCCACATCCAGCGCAGGCAATACTGGGCCAGGGGGTGGGGGCATTGCCCACAAGGAGTTTTCTTAAAAGAAAAAAAACAAGTATTTTTATTTTTATTAACATCTCCATACTCCAGTATTCTAAAATAATGTCAGTAATTATGTTTCCTCTGCCAATTCAAATTTTGTTAGCTTAAGTTTTAAAAGTGTGCTGTCATTTATGTCAGATTTTAATAGTTTATTTATTATTCACAAGGAACAAAGTTTTAGTATATATATACATATAAATAAATACACATACATTTGTGTATGTGTGTGTGTGTGTATGCGTGTGACAATGGTTTTAGTACTTATCTTTGAAACTTCTCTTCTATGAGCGAGTTAATTAAGAGAAGACCCTGTTAAACAGTTGTTGCCATCACAAGCTGTCATGGTTACCACTGCTCCATTCTACAGAGCATCCTTAATGGGTTGGAAGGCCTTGAGACCACTCCCTGCATAGCTTGCAGTCTGTGAGGGAATGTACTATTACATAATCCTCATTCAAGCCATTGATTCGAAATACACAGTGATACCACAAAGACTGTCAGGGTAAACACACACAGTGTGCTTTTATTTACCATTGAATCAGTGAAACAAAGTATTAACTGATGGGTACAAACTTTTTAAGCTTGAAAAGTACAAAATCTTATATTGGAAAATTAAGTATTGTGTTGAATCTGAAAAATATACTTTAAAGTGAAATTCACACTTAGTTACTTTCAGACTATGGAAAAAGTAAAACAAAACAAAAAACAAAATAAAGTTATGTTCTTTGGGGCTGCTTAAATTATACTTTTTGCAGATTTTTTAAAATTCCCTTTTAATTTTACAGTCTTAATTGGATATACAATGATTAATAGGTTTTATACTATGTTTATTTTCTGGACATTTTATTTCATTAATTTATTAATGTAACTAGAAGGATTTTCTCTTGAGGGAGTATTAAAAGTTATTCCTCTCCCTTGTGTGGAACACACTGTTTGCAACACTGTTGGGAGACAGTTGATT